ACTGGACCGACCAAAGGGAATTAGCATTCCAAGAGTTGAAAACTCGACTTGTAACTGCACCGGTTCTTACCCTACCTTCAGGTACGGATGGTTATACTGTATTTAGTGATGCTTTTCATAAGGGTTTGGGATGTGTTTTAATGCAGAATGTGAGAGTTATTGCTTATGCTTCCCGACAACTGTGACCGCATGAAAAGAACTACCCGACCCATGATCTGGAACTTGCTGCAGTAGTATTTGCACTGAAAATATGGCGTCACTATCTGTATGGGGCGACATGTGAAGTATATACTGACCACAAGAGTCTGAAATATTTCTTCACACAGAAAGAACTGAACATGAGACAACAGAGATGGCTAGAACTGATTAAAGACTATGACCTACAGATTTTGTACCATTCGGGAAAAGCCAACACCGTTGCCGATGCACTGAGCCGGAAATCGATTGGAAATTTAGCCTATTTACTTATCGGGCAAAAAGAATTACTTTGTGACCTTGAAAAATCTGAAATTGAAATTGTTTTGCGAGAACAAGGTGGAACAATAGCTGCTATTTCTGCTCAACCAGCACTGATTGAAGAGATTAAAGAAAAACAGCAACTGGATGACTCCTTGAAGAAGATCATCGAAGAAAGGGAAACTAGACCAAGACTGGGTTTCAAATTTGAAAGTAATGTACTGAAATTTCAAGAAAGATTGTGTGTACCAAATGATACTGAATTGAAAAGAAGAGTTTTGCGAGAGGGCCACAATTCAAAATTTTCTATCCATCCAGGGAATACGAAAATGTACCAAGACCTGAAACTGAATTTCTGATGGCCGGGAATGAAGAAAGAAATTGCTGACTTTGTATCGAAATGTCTTCATTGCCAACAAGTCAAAGCCGAACATCAACGACCCGCAGGCTTATTGCAGCCCTTACCGATACCGGAGTGGAAATGTGAGCATATCACCAATGGATTTTATTGTGGGATTGCCTCGCTCCAATAAAGGTATGGACTCAATTTGGGTTATTGTTGTTAGACTGACTAAATCTGCTCACTTCTTACCTATTAAGACAATTTATAATGCGGAAAAATTGGCTATACGCTATATTGATAAAATTGTTAGACTGCATAGAGTACCGTGTCCATTGTTTCTGACAGGGATTCGAAGTTTACATCGAGATTTTGGCAAAGCTTACAGACTGCATTGGGTACTGAATTGAGACTGAGTAGTACTTATCATCCTCAGACTGATGGCCAGTCAGAAAGGACCATCCAGACTCTGGAGGATTTACTGAGAATGTGTGTCCTTGATTTTCAGGGAAACTGGAAAAGTCATTTGCCCTTTGCTGAATTCGCCTACAACAACAACTATTATTCAAGTATTGGTATGGCGCCTTTCGAGGCATTGTATGGCAGAAAATGTAGATCTCCGATTTGCTGGGCAGAAGTTGGAGATGTGCCTTTGCTTGGGCTCGAAACTGTATACGAAACGACTGAGAAAGTGAAACTGATACAACAGAGACTGAAAACCGCACAGAGCAGACAGAAAAGTTATGCTGATATCAGAAGACGGGATAGAAAATATGAAGTGGGTGATCACGTGTTTGTGAAAGTGACACCGATGAAAGGCCAGATTCGTTTTGGAGTCAAAGGCAAGTTAGCACCGAGATACGTCGGACCATATGAGATTATTGAGAAAATCAATCCGGTGGCGTATCAAGTTGCACTTCCTCTTGAAATGGAGCATATGCACAATGTCTTCCACATCTCTATGTTGAGGGACTACCTCCGGGATCCTTTCCACGTCATAGAGCCTACTCGTGTAGTGCTGAGTGATAACTACACTTACGAGGAACGGCCTATTCAGATTGTAAACAGACGAATCAAGAAGTTGAGAAACAAAGAGATCCCGTTAGTGAAAGTTGACTGGTAAAACCATGGTGGCGTATATGCCACTTGGGAGAGGGAAGATGACATGGCTAAAAGATATCCGGAACTGTTTCCACTGAATCCTGTTTTCTTCCAGAACGAAGGTAACTCGAGTTTAGAGGACTAAATTCTTTTTAAGGAGGGGAGACTATAACAACTCTCGTCACTGTTTACCGATTAACCACTGATTACTGCTAAACTGAGACTGATTATGATTGGTAATTGAACTGATTGAAATACTGAACTGACTGACTGAAATCTGGAACTGAATTGATTAAGTATATCTGTTTAATTGTATGTCTATCTGTTGACTGTTTTATTATCTGTTCATGCCTTTGTGTTTAAATTGTGAATTGAAGGCCTTATCGGCGGCCGAATCTGAAATTGATTGATGATTTGTGATCCTTAGAATTAATGTGATTTTATGGCATATTTAGTTAAAATGTGATTTGGTATGATTAAATTGGATCAATATTGATAAATTATATATATTAGCTTTAATTACAACTTTGCCATTTGAGTGGCCACGACACCAAACTTTGTCTAAGGCTTAGTCTTGCATTACACAACTCTTCCTCAGCCATTTTGAGAGCATAGCCGACTAGAGTGAGAGAGTGAGAGGAAAAGAGTGAGTTCAACTTGTTTTCATCTTGATTTTGCTTGGAGGCTTAGGGAAATTGGAAGCTTAAGTGCATAGTTGAGCCTCTAGACTTGTAATTGAGGAACCTATGTATGAATTTCATCCTCCTTATTGTGTATTTAAGTTCCTTCTAGCATGGATCATGGTAGTTTAAAGAGTTAAGTCAAGAATTGGTTCAATAGTGTTGAATTGAAGCTTAATTATTGCATACACGGTGTACTCTTGCATTTTAGAGCTTGGTCTTCATAAATTTGCCACATGCATGTTCATAATTTTACATTAGACCATGAATTCATCATGTTTTTGTAAGAGTTAGCTCATTTGAGCTTGTATTTAAAGCTTTGAATTCGTTAGATTCATGTATGTTTGCATGTTTCTCATATTCATGGAAATTGGTTTGAATTGGATGTATTTGAAACACCCTTGGGCTTTGATTTTACAAATTGAGCTTTGAATCATGTTAAACTATGAGTTTTGGGATGTTTTTTGGAAAATTGGCCCAAGAGGATCAAAATTTATGTTTTAAAAGTTGAATTTGAGCTTGAGGTTCAAATCTGGGAATTCCAGATTTTGAACTCACGCTCGAGCGGGGTGACTAGCGCTCGAGCGTGAAATTTGTGCTCTCAGTACTTTGCACTGTTTTGAAGTCCGCTCGAGCGGAATAATTGACGCTCGAGCGTGACTTTGTGTCTCGTGCTCGAGCGGGTGTCGAGCGCCCAATCGAGCGTGATTTTCACCTATCCAGCACTTTTGACTGTTTTGCATAACGCTCGAACGGGTAAGTCTACGCTCGAGCGGAAACCTTTGTCTGCATATCCGCTCGAGCGAAGTAACCTACGCTCGAGCGTGACCCTTGTTTTCTAAAAATTCTGAAAATGCTTTTAAAGTGCATCTTTGCATCATCATCTCATCCTAGGCATTATTAGTCCTAGTTTAAGGCATCTTAATGAGGATACAGATGTAGAACCACACCGAGGCAAATTAGGGATTAAGTTATTATCTTTCCCAACTGTGTAGCTTAGTGTGTGTTCAATCTGTAACTGTGTAGGGTTGGCGACTGGGGACGCGCTCTAGCCTAACTGTAGCCCAGAACTCTGTGAGTAACAACTGTGTAAAGATATGTTCAAAATGATTATCTTCTGAACAATTGAACTGTACGGCTTTCTAAACTGATACTGTTAATTGAATAAATGTATGTCCTATATTCTGAACTGTATTGTGGCATCCTTAGCAACTACTGTTTACTGCTACTGTTACAGAGATCTCTGTCGGTTCCCTTGTTGGAACCACTACTGTTTACTGATTGATGGCCATCATTTACTGTCCGATCTTTTAAGACCTACTGTTTACTATACTGTTATGCTAATGGGTGTACCACATATAACTGAATGACTGATATACTAAATTAATGAACTGTTTTCATTACTGTAAGGACATTCATTCTTAACCTCTTTACGCATTACGTTATTCATTGGGCTTTAGCTCACTGCTCATATATATATATATGTAGGTGTACAGGCACCAGACCGTGGCTAGAAGCGTCAGGGTAAACTCCAGTTTTGTCGAGCCAACCTATGTGCCTCACTGCGAGGTTCCAAGCCTGTCGAGTTATGGCTTAGGGGTGTTTTAGTTCTCCCTTTTGTCTCTGTAACCATTTTGTTTACTGTACTGTACTGTTTAATAGGGATTAGGTCCCTGAACTGAATGATTGTATATATGTACATACTGTTCTGTACTATTCATGTATATGTGTATGAAAGTCTTTTTGGCATACAGACTGTCACAGCTCATTGGACATTGTTTATTTACTGTTTTGGCTTCCGCCATGCCCATGTACTCTGTTTTACTGTATTACTGTTAAGCAGGCCTTTGGTAATCTTGGATTACTGGCCGGTTACGGTGCTAAATCCATAGGGGCGGGTTTGGATCGTGACAAAACAATACATTTAAAATTTAAAAAAACCAGTAGAATCACAAAACAATGGTGCTACACGCACCAATTGATATATCAATTAGCATATCAACATATGTTATGATATTGTTAATTTAAAATTATAGATCTTACCCATTATATAAATTACAAAGACTTAAAACATCTAAAATTATATTACATCATCTGTTGATACATTAATTGATATATCAATAGATGCGTATACCTTTATTCATCATAAAACCTTTTTTTTTTAAAGACCAGTTCAATATATATCTTCTGATTCTATTTCTCATTCCGTCAAGATTTTGATAATTACCTGCACATGTGTTGTTTGGTCAGCTATGGCAAATTTCTAGACCAAAGCTTGGTATATAGCCGTTAAAAATGCAACCAACCTACCCCACCTAGCTTTTACCTAAATTTATAAGCATATATTTAATGATTTTCAACTATAAATAACCACATTAATTGCTTCTTACTATATATATACGTTCTTTTATTATTTGCTTCTGAGAATCTTTATTTTCTCCAAGTACCATTGGCTTCCACCATCACATTTTCTCGAGAAAACAAAATAATAATATTGAGAATTGGATATTCTTTTGTTTTCAAGAAGTTCTATTCTATCATTTGAATCTGAAAAAGAAATTTAGATATACATATATATTATATACGATAGATGGAAGATTATATCATAAAGTTGATTGTATTGGGAGTGATTTCATGGAGTGTAACATTTTTATTAGTAAGGATGATCTTGCCAAATCGTTCTTTCGATTTCTGCAACCGCGTGGTTTCAACGATTCATGCTTGTTTAGCTGTGACTCTGAGCTGTCTCTCTGTGCAAGATTGGAGATGCCCAGTTTGTCCATTGGCTTCAAAATCATCTCACAAGCAGGTACCAATGAAAATTTATTGATGGGTTTTGAGTATTTTTTTTATCTATATATATATATATATATTTATTAATGTTAATTCACTGAGAGTTCTTTGTCATCTGTAATGGTGGATTTTGAGAACCATGTAGATGCAAACACTGGCAGTGACTCTTGCTTATATGATCTATGACCTTGGATGTGGCCTCTTTGATAAGGGTGTCAAGCTTGACAATTCAATCCATCATTTAGTCAGCATTCTTGGAATTGGGGCTGGTCTTGCCCATCAAATGGTAAATTTTCTTTAGATTTTTGGTCATCTTGTTGTATGTTTTTCACGAGGGCCAAGGATTTTATGGGGATTTTATGTCCCAAAATTTTCTGTCCCCCTATTCCAAAAACATGATACGGCAAGAGTGTCAAACACACTTGAATTATACAATCATAGATTTTCGTGTTTTGAAATTCTTACTGTATTATGTAATGGGGACAGAATTTTGTACCGATCAAATAAAAGATATATTTTGTCTCAAAAGAACTATCCTCTTGTGGTGGAATCTCAAGATACACTCGTATGATTGGGCATTTCAGCAAAGGGACATGGAGTTTGGGACAGATAGGGTCTCGTGCCCAAAGATCTTTGGTCCCCAAAAACTTGGAACAAGGGGTAGATATTTTGGGGCAAAGGGTCTTGTGTCCAAGGATTTTTTGTACCCAAAATTTATGTTCGCAGTCACTAATACACGATACAGTGGGAATTTTAAAATATAAGAATCTCAATGTATAATTATTTAAGTGAAAGTATATTGAGAGAAGGGTACAAAGATTTTGTGACATAGAATCTCGTGTGTGTGTGGGAAGGATATACAAATACAATGTTTTGTAGTGTGTAATGTGGATGTTTTGTTGTGTGTAGTGTGGGACAGAGATGGTGACAGCATTATGGATAACAGAGATCTCAAGCCCATTCCTACACATGAGAGAGCTTCTCAAAGAGCTTGGTTACAAAGACACTGACCTCAATTTGTTTGCTGATGTATGTCCAAACTTCAATGCTCAATAGGATTCAAAATGATTTTTGTTTTTTAGGTGTGTGTGTGTGTGTGTTTTTTATTTGGTTTTTTTGCTTGTTGCAGATTTTATTTGCAGTCATTTTCACATTTGCAAGGATGGTGGGTGGACCTTATCTTTTATATGCGACTCTATCTGCTGACAATCCACTTCTAATAAAGGTAACCATACCATTAAATGTTAGGGTAAATTACACACTGTCTACCTAAAATTTCCCTCATTTTTTATTTTGGCTCTTTAATTTATTTTTTTTTACTTTGATTTTTTATATTTGCAATTCTTTTACTTTGGCTTTTCATTTTTACAATTCATCCCACTTTGACCTTTCATATTTGCAATTCTTCTCATTTTATTCCTAGACTAACTTTCATCCACAAAACTAACAGAATCTGCTACATCACTAATATATTAGCTCTATATGTGATGTAAAACATTCACTAAAGATGCAAAAAATAAAAAATAGAAAACAAAAAAAAATTGAATTTTTTTTGGTCTTTAGTGAACTTTTTTTTTCAAATTTATTCATAAATATTATTACATTATAGATGCATCTAGATTAGATGTAGCTAAAAAAATAAAAACAAATTTAACTAAAAAAAGAAAAAAGTTTACTAAAGACGAAAATAAAAATAAAAATATACTGACTCAAACACCAACACTTGTATTGTCAATTATGAAATGAAAAATTTACTATTATTTTTTTCGTCTTTAGTGAACTTTTTTCTTTTTTAGTTAAATTTGTTTTTATTTTTTTTAGTTGCATCTAATCTAGATACATCTATAATGTAATAATGTTTATGAATAAATTTGAAAAAAAAATTCACAAAAGGCTAAAAAAAGTTCAATTTTTTTATTTTTTATTTTTTATTTTTTGCATCTTTAGTGATTTTTTACATCACATATGGAGCTAATGTGTTAATGATGTGACAAATTCTGTTACTTTTTTGGATGAAAGTTAGTCTAAGAGTAAAGTGAGAATGATTGCAAACATGAAAGGCCAAAGTGGAAAGAATTATAAATATGAAGGGCCAAAGTGAGAAAAATCAAACTTAAAATGCCAAAATGAGAAAGATTGCAAACATGAAGGATTAAAGTAAAAAAAATTGTAAACATAAAAGGTCAAAGTGAGAAAAATCAAATTTAAAAGATTAAAGTGAAGAATGAGTGAAACTTTGAGGGACAAAGTGTAATTTTTAAATAATAGTCATTTAATATATGAGTAATGAGACCAGCTCATCAGCCGAAACCAAACACCTAATTGATCGATATGTGGAACAAACTACACACTAACACACGTGTTTCATTTTGACGGATTAGTTGCTTATATAAATATATGTATACAGGCACACATTACGTGTGTGTCACAGTTAGATATGAAAGAGGTATTTTGATAGTTAAATAAGGGTAATTAAATAAGTGTTCACATTAACATTTTGTTTGGAATAAATTATTTTAATAATTTTTTAATTTTTTATAAAAAGATATATAAAAAAAAAATAGAGAGAGTGTGGATCCTACACATACATAAATAGACCCCACACATACATAAATGGCCAGGATTCCTTTAGAGGTGTGAGAATCATTCCCAAAAGGGTCCCAAATAACTTATAATGACTTTTTAATTTTTTAACTAAAATCCCAAACGAGGCCTAAGTTATGTTTGGAAGTGGCTAAATTAGTCCCAAAAAAAACAAAAAAAATTAAAATCATATAAAAAAAGAAAAAAAAAAGTTGAGATACATTTTTTTCTTGACCCCACCACCCCCAATATATTGGGATTGGCTAATTTTTTGTTTTTTGATTTTTTTTTCCCTATCACTCACCGACATATGTCTATGGGGTTGTAGGGGTCAAGAAAAAAGGAGTCTCTATCATTTCTGATAAAAACAATTAAAAATTCTTTCTCATTCTTTCTATTTTTCTCATCTCATATTTTAGTGAAAAAAATTACTAAAAGTATGAGTTTCTAAACGAACCAATATACACTGTATACTTTATATAACAATATAGATATATATTTACCGATGTCTTATTTGTATAGGCAATGGCACTCGGATTGCAGTTGGTGAGTGCTTTCTGGTTCTACAAGATTGCTAGGATGGTGAAATACAAATTGACAAGGAGGGGTACACGTAAAGAGTTGCTTCAAGCCAATAAACAAACAAAATTGAATTAATCTTATGTAATCATAAAAATTATATCTTGATCAATTTTATTTAAGTATATTGTTGACTTAGGGTTGTTTGGAATAATCTAAATAAGTGCACTTTTTGTCTTTTTATGAAAAGATGTGTAGAAAAGTAGAGAGGTGATGTGATAGAAAAAAGATAAAAAGATGGAATATTTAAGGGATTGGCTAATGTTCCTTTTTCTTTTTCTTCTTTTGTTTAAATTGTTTATCATGTTTTTTTTTTTTATTGTTCCATGTTCTTCAATTGTTTTCATATTATGATGTTTTTTCTTCTTTTTTTGGGAGGTTTCAGTAGTTAGGGGTGTTTGGGCTAATTTATGCGTATCTTAACTAATCCTAACTCCGGTCCAATCAAAGGCAAGTCATTCATACCGGGTTAAAAAAATCATGAAAAATTACTTTCTCGCAATCTAAATTTAAGAATTGAATATTGAGCAAGTATGTAAATATTACACTTACCAACCATTCATAATAACTCTCAGAATACTACTGTTAACACAATTAGACAAATAAAAAGTATATTGAATAATATTATGTGTATCTCAAAGTAGAGAGGTGATGTGATAGAAAAAAGATAAAAAGATGGAATATTTAAGGGATTGGCTAATGTTCCTTTTTCTTTTTCTTCTTTTGTTTAAATTGTTTATCATGTTTTTTTTTTTTATTGTTCCATGTTCTTCAATTGTTTTCATATTATGATGTTTTTTCTTCTTTTTTTGGGAGGTTTCAGTAGTTAGGGGTGTTTGGGCTAATTTATGCGTATCTTAACTAATCCTAACTCAGGTCCAATCAAAGGCAAGTCATTCATACCGGGTTAAAAAATTCATGAAAAATTACTTTCTCGCAACCTAAATTTAAGAATTGAATATTGAGCATGTAAATATTACACTTACCAACCATTCATAATAACTCTCAAAATACTACTGTTAACACAATTAGACAAATAAAAAAGTATATTGAATAATATTATGTGTATCTCATTCAATATAATGAAGGCCCATATATATAGACAAGAAGGAGAAAGAGAATTCTAATCATACTATATAATGTAATCCTAATCCTATTATATAATGTAAAGAATCCTAATCCTATTATATAATGTAAATATAATATAATCTAATATATATCACTAACAGCCCCCCTCAAACTCAAGATGGTTTCAAAGAGACCAACTGGAGTTTGGAAGGAAACTCATGAAAACGACCAGGAAGATGAGTTTTAGTAACAGATCAGCAACTTGAGCAGCGGAAGAAACAGACTAGAGTTGGATAATGCCACTATTGACATGCTAACGAATAAAATGACAGTCAATCTCGATGTGTTTGGTGCGATCATGAAAAACATCATTGTGAGCAATCTGAATGGCATTACTCTTCTATTGCTTCATGTTGATGATATGATTATTATCGGTGATGATCTTGATGGCATTCATGAGCTGAAACATTTTCTCAGGTCTCATTTTGAGATGAAAGATCTAGGTTCTCTTAATTATTTTCGAACGGCAGCATACTGAGTAGATTGTGGAGCAGACAAAAACTGACTGACAATGTGAACTACATGAGAGATATCAGGCCGAGTAATAGACAAATAGACCAGACTACCCACTAATACTGTTGATGGCACTCACATGTCTGTTAGTCATATTGGTAGTGTCTTTACCTCCACTGTGTCTCTCTCTGATGCTTATCATATTCCTGCCCTCACCCTAAACCTTATTTCTATTGGTCAACTTTGTGAACTTGGTTTAACTGTTCTCTTCTCCTCCTCTAGTTGTCAGGTTCAGGATCCGCAAACAGGACAGACTATTGGGATATGGCGTAAAACTGGACGTCTGTTTGAACTCATCAATCTTCATCTACCATTTTCTACACCTACTCCTCAGCATATCGCATCCACTCTCTCTCTTGATCTTTGGCATTCTAGATTAGGGCATGTTTCTTTTGGTCAGCTATGTACTTTGGTATCCGGTGGCAATTTAGGCTCTATTTATTCTAATTATCATAATGATTGTCAATCTTGTCAACTTGCTCTGATACCATTTTAACACAATTAGACAAATAGAAAAGTATATTGAATAATATTATGTGTATCTCATACAATACAATGAAGGCCCATATATATAGGCAAGAAGGAGAGAGAATCTTAATCCTACTATATAATGTAATTCTAATCCTATTATATAATGTAAAGAATCCTAATCCTAATCCTATTATATAATGTAATCCAATATATATTACTAACAACTACAATAGTCTTGTTTCTTATTCCCTTTTCTTCATTTGAAATTTTGAAGCCCTCTGATTCTCCATATTCTCATTCAATATTAATTATCCATATTGGTAGCGATATGATTTCCCGTCATTTGGTAAAACTTTGAAAGCAATTAAATTAAAAAATAAATAAATCAAAATCAACTTAAAATAGAAAACTAAGTACTTGTAAATAAAATTCAAATTTGACATTTTAATATTGAAAAATGCTTAAGATCTCCTTTTTTTTGGAGACCCTCACCACTCTCTTTAGATTTCAACCATTGATGTATAAATGGGACCCACTCATGTATGTGTGAGGCTCACATCATCAATTGTTGAGATCCAAAGGGGTGATGGGGTCTCCAAAAAAAAGGGTCTCAATCATTGTTGTTCAATATTACATAGGGACTCAAAATTTCTGTCCAGAAATTTATCTTGAAATTGATCTTGTAGGTCCAATTCAACTCTTATTAAGGCTCCATTTGAGGACTTGAGTTTATAAACAAATTATTGTAAGTTATTATATTGCTCTTTCTATTTTATGAATGCTTTTATTTTTATTTTTATTTTTGTTTTTGTTTTTATTTTTTTTTTTTATAAAAAGTCAGAAAACTAACTAAAATTACCAACTCCTAAATAAGACCTTAATAAGGTCCACTTGTAAAATCAATTTCAATCATACATTAAATTTTTTTTTTTGGGCACTTTTTTGAACGAAAATTCTAAAACCCTAACATAGTTGTACACATATATACTTAGTGATGTTAGCCCACCCAATGGATGTGTTATTAAATTTTAAAAATATATAATTGATTTTGATTTGAAAATACACATATTATGTATTGTTCTAAGTGATATAAGAGTCTTGTCTACTAATCACATGTCTTAGTTTTGAATCATAATTTCTTTTCTATATAATTTTGAATTTTAATTAGGTTAAAAAGACATTTCCAAACTTCACTTTATATATAGTATATATTCAGATTTGGTTTATCTCAAGTTGGTCATCTCAACTTAAGAGAATGTTTAGATTTGGTAGGTTCATTTTGGAACTAATTTCGGTGATCCAAATTGTTTACATTTTATGACTCATTAAGTAGAATATTCATGTAAAAGATAAAATGATCGAATATTAATAGTTATATATTTGAATAAAATTTATATTATAAAAAGTAAATGGTTATTTATAAAATTATATTTGTCGTCCTTTTGTTTAAAACAAATATGATTTAAATATATAGTTATCAATATCCAATTATCTTAATTCTTTTAATGAATATTCTACTTAACAAGTTTTAAAAAATAAACGACTCAGATCACTAAAATTTATTTCAAAATGAGTCTACTAAATATAAACGCTCTTTTAAATTAAGATGACAAATTGAGAAAAATTAAAACCCAATAAATTTATATGAAGACATTACCAAACTTCACTTAAATATGTAGGTCTATTTTTGAAAATTTGGCTAAAAGTTAATTTTTCTTAACTTTTTAAATCTTATCATTCATTTATTTTTTTGCACATTTAAAAAAAAAAAAATCAAAAAATCAATTTTTAACTTATTTTTCAAAACAACCCAGAGTGTATATATATATATATATATATGGACGAAGATATCACTGTAGATGTTTGGAAAGTTATTATTTTAATAGGTTATTTTAATTTTTAACTATTTTAGTAGACTAAAATTTTTATACTTAGGAAGATGATTAAATTTTTTTATAATTAAATGTGATATTTGTAAAAAAAAATAATAATAATTATAAATTTGATATAATATTTTATCTTATTAACTATTTTATTTTATTTTATTTTTCTTTTTAAATTTTAACTTAAAAAAGTTAAAATTTATCTTGCCAAACACCCCCACTGTAAGCTTGACATGACTAAAGCTGTTGTTGTTTGAGTGCACGTTATTGTTTACTTACGTACGAAAGTACGTACGATTTGAAAGCAGCAATTATTATTATTGAACCCTCAATAATTTTTTTTTTTGCCCCTTCTGTTTTTTTGTTCTACTGAGATTATTATTAGGGCTGGTTTGGGGTGTCCTAAAAAAGTGTATTTTTTGTCTTTTTGGACTAAAAAAGTTGAGAAAAAAATATGGAAGTTTGGGTTAACTTTTTGACTTTTTATAGAAAAATGTGTATTAAAAAATTGTATAAAAAAAAGTGTGTGAGAGATAATTAGAGAGAGGTGGGCCCCAGCCGTACAACCGGCTGGACTGAATTGGGGTTAGAAATTATTGGCTAATTTTTCTACAAAGCACTGGACGGTTTTGTTTGGCCCGTGGGAGTCATCACGGGTCCCATTTTAATAATCTGAACCGTTCAATGTGTGTAACTCGTCGAACACTATGTACCTATAAAAAATCACGTTAATCGGATATCGATAGCTATCTTATCAGATTTATTTATTTTTTAATCATTAATTATAACACCATCTATTTGTTGTACATAACTGATTTGATCATATAGTTATCGATATCTGATCAATGTGATTTTTTGCAGACATATAGTACTTGACGATTTTTACATATTCAACGGTTCAGATTATCAAAAAGGGACCCGTGATGACCTCCATGAGACGAACAACGGTGTGTGTAAAAACCACACCCAATCATTTCTTTTTCCACCACTGCCGCACACATCAATTCGGTGAATAGTGATTTTGAAGAAAATTAATTTTAAAATTTTTTTTTTTTATGAATAGTGATATCTTTTTGAATTTTGAAATAACTTTTTGACTTTCTGACTTATATAGAATAAGCCAAACCAGCCCTTTGTTAGATCAGTAAAGTCCATCATCATTTTTTCACTTTTTATCTTTTTATAAGAAATAATTATATAATTATCCCTTGATGAATGGTATGTAATAATACTTTAGGCTTTGGTTATGGTGTGCAACTTACACCTTACACCTTATACCTTACACTTACACCTTACACTTACACCTTTTGTAAAAAATTAAACCTTACACTTACACCTTTTTTGAGGTTGCACACCATGTGCAACCCACTTACACCTTACACCTTACACTTACACCTTACACTTACACCTTATACTTATACTTACACCTTACACTTACACTTTTTGTGTAAGTGGCACATGGTGTGCACTTGCACACTTAAGAAAACTCCAATACTTTAAGGCTCCGTTTGTTTTCAGAGATAGAATGGAGGAGATTTATAGTGAAGGGATTAATAGTGAGGGGATTGTTAGTGAGGGAATTTATAGTGAAGAATTGTTAAACCAGCCCTTTGTTAGATCAGTAAAGTCCATCATCATTTTTTCACTTTTTATCTTTTTATAAGAAATAATTATATAATTATCCCTTAATGAATGGTATGTAATAATACTTTAAGGCTCCGTTTGTTTTCAGAGATAGAATGGAGGAAATTTATAGTAAAGGGATTAATAGTGAGGGGATTGTTAGTGAGGGAATTAATAGTGAAGAATTGTTAAATTATTTTTATATAAAATAATAAAACAAATAAAAAATATAAAAAATTAAACATTATATTTTAAAAAAATTTCCCATTATGTAAAAAATAAAAAAAAATAAAAAAATTTCTAATCCCTTCACTATTTTTCTAATACTATTTCTATCTCCTTCTTACCAATCCCCCTTCCTCCTCCTTACTAATACCAAGGGATTACTAATCCCCTCCCTATCTCTCAAAATAAACACCTTATTCTCAATCCCCTCCTCACTGCCAAACCCAATCCCCTCCCTATAACCCCAAATAAACGGGGCCTAAAATCAATCAAGAAGACATCGTTTGGGAAGAATAAGTCGGGTGGATTTGGAACTATTTTAGTCACAAAAAGACAAAATAAATTTTTTAATTTAATAAGATAAAATATCATATCTAACTCATAATCATTACATTCTTTTTCTCACAAAAAGTCAAAAAAGCCAAAAAAAAATCCTTTATAAACGAGGTTTTTTAATCTCAAGTTAAAATAACCAAAAAACTAAAAAACCAATCCATTTTCCAAACGAACACTAAGGTTGCATTTGGTAGAGCTTTCTAAATGTGATTTGAGAGTAGGAATTGTATTTTGAATTTGTGAGTTTTGAAATTATGATTTGAGTGTGAAAAATTTGTTTGGTGAAAGTTTTGAAAAGAGTTTTAAATTGAGTGGGAAATTTTTTATGTAACATATGATATTTGATACAAAAAATTATAACTTATAACCAAATACAAAACTCATAATTATATTAAAGCTCATAAAAAATTTTAAAAAATTCAGAAAATATTTTTTTCAAATATATAAAAATTAACATGTGAGAATTGAAAGAAAAAAAAAATTTACATTGTTCTGGTCAACCGGTGAGACGACTAGTTAGCCTAATTTTTTTCGCCTTCGATCGAGTTTTCAAAATTAAATGTAGAATTAACTTTTGAAAATTGTAAGCAAATTTCATGTGCAAAATAAGCTCTGAAACTAATATTCTAGAGGTGTACCAAACACAGCCTAATTTTTTCCCACCCTAATATTCATGGATTAAAGGAGTGAAACTAGTACTTTTTGTTAGGCTTTTAAAAATCGATTATTACCTACACTCGTGTTAGGGAAAAAAATACAAATTTATAAGAAAATTTACAAATTTAATTCTTAATATTAAGAAAAAAAATTATTAATTTATTATTATTTTTTTCACACCCCATTGATGTGATATTTTTCTTTTTAAAAATTTTATTGACAAATGTTAAGTAATAAATAATATAGAACAATACTTCAAAAATCAAGACGATCAAATAATCACTATTAAATAAAATAATATAAGTAAATAAAAAGTAGTATTTATTTTTTAA